AAGACAAGTCTTGGTTAAAGGAAACAACAAAACAAAACCTGACATAATTAGGACGCCAAATTACACTTTTCCTCCTTACTGTAAAGGATGTTTAATTGATATCTGCTGCAGACCTTGGTTTTATTCCTGGTAATATATACGGAATACAATCACAAGTTGAAAGTCTGAAGAAAAAAATGCCACAACAAAACTTTTCTATTATAAATAATTACAGTCACAAAAGATTGGAAGGAGTAATGCATCGCTGACATTTAAAAACATAATGAAGTTATACGTGGCAATACAAAAAGTTTCATGGCAACTAAAAGCTTTTAGAGCTGTACCTGGCAAGTTAGCTGAAGTAAAAGCAATTAAAATAGAACAAAATAGCTGGAAGACTATAAGATCTAGCCACCATCAAGGTTTGTCAGAGAGAAATGTTGCATCTCACTATCTCTGGACCGTGTGTTAGGCAGTGATAAAGGAGTAGATAAAGAACATTGACTATTCTGATATGCAAAAGGCTTTCATTAAGGTCCCTGGGAGTCTGTTAAAAAGCTAAATAATCACCGAGAGAGGAAAAAAAAAACCAATAAAAAAACTAAGAACTGGTTGCTAATATAAAATAGGAGGGCTGAGCAATCACTCATTGTCACAATAAAAGATCAGAAGCAGAATGCCCTCCATTTCAGGCTAAGTTTTATGACTTACTTGCCCCTTCCAAAATTTTTGAAAAGTATTAAAATCTTCAGATGACAAGGAAATGGTTATGGTGGTGTTGGGTTGATGGTTGTACTTCATGATCTTAAGTCATGGTCTTTTCCAAACTTAATGATTCTGTGATTTTGTGAAATGCTAAAAAGATCCTCTGAACAATTTAAATAAGGGAACGCAATAGGGATGTTCAGTCAAATTTTGATAAATAATAAAACTTACAGCTTTTAAGCTAGAAGGATTCACATTTTGTGCGACCCTAACAAGCCACATCGATTCACCAATAGCAGTTTACAACTCCTCCCTGCTCAAGATGCATTGTTTTAAAAGAAAATCAATAAAATTTTCTGACACAACCTGCAGTGTTTCTTGTACACTGCAAAAAAAATACAACATTTTCCTCAAAGATGTATCACCTTTAGAATACAGTGGAATTCTGGTTATCCAAGAAAAGGAGATAGAATTCATCAAAGTACAAATAAGGGTTATAGGACTGACTAAGCAAAAGGAGAAATCTCATATAATGAAACATTAAAAAAAATAAGAGGATTATTTCTATTATCATATGAATGCAATGTAATCAAATACACCACATGATCAAACAATGCCTGTCAGCTGAACTGCGGTGCCCTAGTGCTGCATGCATTCTTGTCCACCTAAGTGCTGAGATAAAGCACCTTTGTTCTAACTTTGAAATTTTACAGATCAGAATTGGACCTAAAGGGAAGGCCAAAGGCAGCAGAGATAATCTTTTAGCTTTCTCAATTCAGAGTTCTTCCATCTTTGTGTGTAACACCTGCCATCTGGACGCTGCTGGTAGACTGAATATATGACTAAATGGATTTTGGTATGGATAAAATACAGCAAATTCCTAGGCTTCTAGCTCGCTTAACAGTCTATATCAAATTTTCAACAATTACTTATGAACAAATGTCTCTGGGGTGGAGGGAATAGAACTACAGTTCTATACAGTTAGGAACTTCTGGCAGTTTTGCTACAAATGACCCCCAAAGCAGAGTGAAGATTTACTCTCTTGTTCTATATAGTTAGGAACTTCTGGCATTTTTGCTACAAATGACCCCCCAAAGCAGAGTGAAGATTTACTCTCTTCAAAGCTCAATATTATTTCTTTACATAAAAAACTTACACTCCAGGAGGAAGGAATGATTTGTTGGTTTGTGGTGTTTTTACTGGTGCAGGGAAGAGCAGAACACCAATATCCTTTGAAATTCAGTATAAGGCAAAGCTCTGATTAATTTTTTCCTTCTTCCACATCACTACTAGGTATACTAGTTCTGCAAAACAAATCAAGTCTCACAAATATTTCTATAATCCTAGTAAATGATACTCTTAAGATCCCTTGTATAAGCTCAGCTAAATAGTAAAAACAGGTAGTAAGAACCGAGTGAAACTGTATCAATCCAAGTCTTTTATGTAATAAAGAAAAGAATCCAATTCTTACCTCAGATATCAGTTAAGAACGTGACATTTTTATTCAGTCATTTTTCAGAGCAGGATCACAACATAAATCTATTCATACTTTCTTTTCCATCTTTGCTTTGCTTCCTCCAAACTCTGTCTAGATTTGGGATTATTCCTCCCCCTTCTCCCTCCATCTTCATCTAGATTTTGTACATTATTTTTCTAATTCCATTCCTTCTTCCAACAACTTAGAGGAACATGGGTAGCTTCTTTATCCTAGTTAGTAGGTTTTGTTTGCCAAAGGAAAAACCTTGTATTAGCAACATCTCAAGAGAGGGCTTTCTTCATATGGGTGTTGCCTTAAAATGAATCCTGTATTTTCTCCATAGCAAAAAACTGTGGATGTTCTTAAGCTAGAAGGATTAATTTATTTATTTGTAGTGATGTGTACATGTCCTAGGCTAATTTGTCATAGACATGCTTATTAGCTTGTTCTGTCACATCCCTGATAATATCAATATAACTGCCTTCAGCCAAAATACACTTTGTCAGATCTATAGCAGAGCTGTATATCAAGATACACTGTACTAGGTTCAGACTGGGGTTTTTGTCTGCCTTGCAGAACATAACAAACAAGGAATGAGATTTAACCGATGTCCTTTCATCAACAGAGAAAAACTTACACACTGACCCTTATCACTCTTAAACACACACATGATAAGTAAAGAGAATACTTTTCAAAATCTCAGCATTAATGAATTGGTCAATTAATGTAATTCATCTAAGTATTAACTGAATGTGTGAACTGCAAGTATAATGAAAAATAAACATATAAATGTTCACCTGACATTATCCACAAACAACCAAAATTATGAACTTTCAAAACATACCATAAAATATACTGCTAAATATATAAATACAGCCCAGAATTACAAGAATTATAATAATATATATAGCCCAAATTATAAGAATTTGTGAAGGCATGTCAGACTGTACAGTCTGCCATTACATCCGCTGACCCATACACTCCTTTTTTTCAGGTCTTCACATTTACTTGCTATCAATAGTGTTGGAAAAAATCCTTAAGCAGTGGAACAAATTCTTAAGTGGTGGAACAAAGTTTAAAAGAGCATGAGACAACACAAAAGCAATATACTTGGAATTTATATAAATACACTCCCTTCTAAATTGTCTTCAATGTAAACGACAATTTGGTATGTGAACTATTACAGGAGTTTGACCCCTACAATCGATGGGCCCTGACAATATCCACCTATGAGTGTTGAGAGCGCTGTCTGATGTTGTTGTGAGGCCATTCTCCATAATCTTTGAGAAGTCACGGACATCAGGGGATGTCTCACAAGACTGGAAGAAGGCTAATGTCACCCACATCTACAAAAAGGCCTTAGAGGCAGATCCAGGAAATTATAGGCCAAATCAGTCTTACTTCAGCCCCTGGGAAAGTTATGGAATGAATCCTCTTGGGGGCTATCACAATTCAAATGAAGCATGTGATTAGGAAAAGCCAGCACAGATTCACCAAAAGCAAATCATGTTTGATAAACCTGATTGCCTTCTATGACAAAGTAACCTGCTCTGTTGATGTGGGGTGAGCAGTGGACATTGTCTACCTGGATTTATCCAAGGTTTTCAATACAGTCTCCCAGTCTCCTCCTAGAGAAACTGGTGCATTACAGTCTAGCCAAGTGGTCCGTGCAGTGGGTGGGGAACCGGCTGACAAGCCGCACCCAGAGGGCGGTGGTAAATAGCTCCTTTTCAAACTAGCAACGTGTTACAAGTGGGGTCCCCCAGGGATCAATATTGGGCCCAACACTGTTTAACATCTTCATAAGTGATCTGGATGATGGGATTGAGTGTACCCTGACAAAGTATGCCAATGATACCAAACTAACTGGGGAAGTGGACACTTCGGAAAGGAAAGCCAGCCTGCAGGAAGACCTGGATAGGCTGGAAGAGCAAAAAAAAACAAGACCCTTATGAAGCTCAACAAAGACAAATGTAAGGTCTTGCACCTGGGAAGACATAATCCAGGAGGGCAGCACAGGCTGGGATCTACCCAGCTGGGAAGCAGCTCAGTGGAAAGGCACCTGGGGGTCCTTGTGGACAACAAGCTCAATATGAGTGAACAGTGTGCTGCTGTGGCAAAGTAAACCAAAAGGATGCTGGGTTGCATCAACAAGAGCATCACCAGCAGAAATAAATGGGTCATTATTCCACTCCACTGAATGTTTGCCAGGCCACACCTGGAATACTGTATACAATTTTGGTCCCTGCTACACAAAAAAAATGTGGACAGGCTGAGGAGGGTTCAGAGAAGGGCCACAAAGATGATCAAAGGACTGGGAAGCCTGCCATGTGAGGAAAGGCTGAAAGAACTGGATTTGTTCAGCCTTGAGAAAAGGCGGCTTAGGGTAGACCTTGTCACCATGTTCCAGTATTTAAAGGATTGCTACAAAGAAGTACTCCCTTTTTACAAGAAGTCACATGGAAAAGCCGAGGGATAATGGGTACAAGTTACTCCTGGGGAAATTCTGACTGGACACAAGAAGAAAATTTTTCACAATGAGAACAATCAGCCATTGGAATAATCTCCCCAGGGAAGTGATGGATTCCCCAACATTGGACACTTTAAGATTTGTCTGGACAGGGTGCTGGGCCATCTTGTCTAGAACTTGCTTTTGCCATGAAAGGATGGACCAGATGATCCTTGAGGTCCATTCTAACCTGGTATTCTATGATTCTGTGACTGGAAGTTTCACCTCAAATTAGCAAAATTTACTGCTCAGCAATGGAACAGAAATAAGAACTCATAATACATGCATTCTAACAACACATAGTTAAAAAAAAAGCCAGCTGTATTATACCTGTTGTCATGGTATCTGTAGGGATGATGGTGTAAAACATCTTGCAGGAAACGCTCCATCAAGCTACTGGTACCCATACGATTTCTACAGTAGGTTGTAAAATGTCTGTGCTGGGAGCTGAAGACATGCTGGTGAAAGATAAAACAGATGACTAGTTTAATACTATTGTTAACACCCTGGCCTCTTCCTAAAAATTAATTCCCAGGTTAAACATTACACTGCTGCTACAAACATTTTAAATAAAAAGAAAAATCTTCAGCCTTTTCTACTTTAAGGCCTTGATTCAAAAAGATTTTTAAGCGTGCTTAAGAAATCTCGAATAATACTAAAATGTATTGAAACATCTTTCTGAGTTGGAACCTAAATTAGCAGCTCTGACAGCTCATCACCAATCTCTTATAACTAGTACAAATATTCTCACAAATCTCACAGTTGCTCACAAATCTCTTGTAACTAGTACAAATACTCTAAATGTATCTATAAATGACTATTAAAATATTTTTTAACTTCACATGAGTAAATATCCTACAATTCACTTGAATAAAAGAGAATTTTCGTAAGCATAGAAGATTATATAAGCTAAAGTCTAAAAGACAGGAGACTGACAGAATTAACAGAAGAGAAAATAGTTGATCAAAGCTTTGATATCTAACTTATTAACCCTAATACTTTACAGTATATACAGATCTCAAGATTAAGGCCACAGAAATAAACCTAATGGATACAATGCACAGCAGTATGCCACTTCAGAAAAGCAGACTGCAGTAGCCATGCCACTCCACCAGCATCTTTTTAACAGGTAACAGATAAGAAGGGTATCTTCTTCTCAGTGCATACATTGTGCAATTCACAAATTGATTATTTTTCATTAAGGATTGGCTGTTCAGTGTAGAGACTAGTATTTTATAAGCTGATAAAGCCTTTTGGTACTCCTTGCAATCTGTTGCTGAATTATGCATAAGCCTTCTCACCTGTTCCAGATTGCTGTAGTGGACATGGCAACAATTGCAGTATCCTTGTCTATTTTGCACAGTGGATACTCCAGGCCGAGGATGTTCTTGCCCTCTTGTGTGTAAACTGAAAAAAGCAGGTAATATTACCAAGACATTTCAGTAAAAAAAAAAACCCCAAACAAAAAAAACAACACCTGTTGGGTTGTTTAATTCTTGTTCTTAGTATGGAAATTCTGAATATCTCTCTTACTACAGAGCTGGAACAAACTCGCAAGATAAACATTTCTATTTCAGAATTGTAATGGCAAGTAGGCCTACATATTTTAAGGTATTCCCAAGCAAGTTTCACTAAAGAAAATGTTTTCTTAGATGCAGAGCAAAGGGTAACAGGTTGAAGGCACAGCTAACACAAATTCTAACTTCAGTTGGCTGAAATCTGAAGACAACTCCAGAAAAAGGCAGAGTCATCTTTTCATTCTTCTGTTTGTTAGTATTTTGAAATTTAAAAAAAAGGCCAAAGACAAAGAAATCTTGACAGCCACATACTAGTTTTGGGCACTACAGATGAGGTTAAAAACCAGATACTTTCATTTTACTTTATATAAGCAGTAAGCTAGATGCCAATTAGATCATCACTTAACTTACCTGCTATTGCTCTCCTGTTGTAGAGAGCCTTCGACACCATGTCTTTCAATTCCTATAGGAGGAAAAAAAAAAAACCAAACCAAACACAAACAAAAAACAGAATATCAAAGACATGGAGTAAAGTTTTACCTGCAAGTAGTTACTTCTCTAACATTGTATTTGCCAAAACTACTATTTTAAAGTTTTACTATACTATTATTTTACTTTACTATTTAAAAGTTCAGTAAGTTCAAGAAAACATGTAAAGAGAGATCCTTTTGTCCTCAAAGCTTCTCTAAGAGCTTCATAGAATAAGCTTTACCCTTTCATGGTTGAGGTGAGTGGGAATTTCTCTATTGCTTTATCTGGGATCCAGACTAGAAAATCTACATCTACATTGCTACATCCGTGATCACTGAGATAAAATATGTCACATCTTAAACAGCTTATTACAGGATAAGAAAATTACATCTACATGGAAACTCTGTGGATGATTCAGAAGTCACTTGTTCCATCTAAGTTCTGTAATGAAATTTAGGAAATCAAAGTATGCAATTGAAACTACAAGGTGAACTAATGCTTCTACTGATAATTATTACATTAAAAAAAGAATAACTGCAACAAAAACATCTAATTTAAACTTCTCACCTTGTGCTGAAGAAGCAGAAGCTTCATCAGATGGTTTGATTCTGTCAAACATCTGTAAGTAAAAAATAAAATAAGCGAAAATAAAAAAATATTAGAAGCCCCACAGTAAAGCCCATCCTCAAGTTCATCCTTCAGTCCAAGCTCCAAGCTGTTCAGAAACACTATATTGTTTCAGCTATAGACCAAGACTTGACTTAAATGAAGCTGCATTGTAAGAATAAATTTCTGCTTTGCTAGGTTACTCTAATACTATATTTAGCAATGCATGTTAGTTTTGATAGAAGGGGTTAATTTCTGATCCAATTAACAAAGTCAAATACAATACTTATGAATACATCTTAGACTCCGTTAGGTTATTAAGCAATAAACTTGTCAAATTAATTTAATTACTTCATTTCCTAAGTTGCCTTTACAGTAAAGATGAAATAAGTATGCTAATAAAAACCATACAAGACCTAGACCACACAAAATAATTATCCAGGCTGGAAAAGTAATCCTTATTGCTCAAAAGACCTGCAAACCAATACTGAATCCCACAATTTTTAATTAAAATATGACTGTAGCAACATGCAGTTACGTTTTAGGGTGCCCAAACACAAAGGGCTTCCGAGTTTCACACAGTCCTCTAACATTATGGAATGCAAGCATAAAATCAGCTTTCTAGTACAAACCTTAGTGTCATCAACCTTCTTCATCCACCAAAGCTGACTCCAGACTAGCAAACAATAAATGTTGAACAGGAGGCCATTTGCAGTGCAGGACACTTATCTTTTCTCATCCCATCTGGCAACAATGAAGTTAAAAAGCCTTTTAAAATAGAATTAATAATGCATGTTTTCCATGCCCTAAGGCATGCAAATTTTTCTGTACCACTTTGCAAACATGTCAGTCAATAAAATTAATAAATCTCTTTTTGAAGTCTGCAATACATCTTTCTTTTTTATTACTGAAGTTGTTTTGACAGTCTTTACTACATAAATGTTAACTGTTCCTTCTGGAGTAACTTTCTTGCTTCTTTCTTCCTCATGGTCCCTACATATTAAATGTTGTTGTTGTTTTGGATGCTAGAACTCATGAAATTAAGTATACTTGACAATAACAGAAAACAAATTCCTCAATATTAACCAAATTGAAAGGAATCTATATTGAGCATCATTCATGAACCTGCTCAGAAAAACAATGTTTTATTTTGCTTATGTTACATAAACTAGTTAGATATTGCAATAATACATTAACTGGAAATTTCACAGTAGGTTGGATGTCCAAAGCATTTCATAAATTAATTGTTATATACCTAACAAAGTATTACTGTTAGCATTACAGACAGGGAAACAGAAAGACCGCAATAATTTTCACAATCACCGTCATTAGCATCACAGTGAAAGTACCACATCCTGTCTCAAAACGTAGGATTTAGCAATTCCTAGATCTGCTCTTGGTTTACCACTTTTTATGCAATTGTGGGATGACAAACTTAAAAGTTTCAAATCAACCACTTTTAATCCTCTATAAACTGTTTTTACAAGAATCATTCCTTCCCTTCTCCTTTCCTGATCTCATATATATAGAAAAGATGTTCCTGTATGAGGCTATATACCATCAGTCTTGACAGATATGTGGTTTGATGTTTGTTTTCTTTGTATTTGTTTTGCTCTTTCCCCAACTATGCACTGCTCATTACAAAACAGCAGGGCTGTTACAGCAGTTATGGTCAGAAGGAATACCTTAATATCTCAACTCAAAAAAAAAACCAACCCCAAACAACAAACCACCCAATCAAAACAGCAGACTTGTTCTCCTTCCCATAGTGTATCAATTCATGTAAAAATATTTAAAAACAAAGAAACAAAAACCAACTCAGCTGTTCGGATAAGTCTTCTCATCAGACAACCGAAAAAAGCTTTCTTGATAGATCAACTATCTCAGTCACCCTGTTCAGTGTCCTATACACAGCTGGAATCCAAAAGAAAGTGAAGGAAAAACCCACATAACTATCTTTCATGAACAATGCTTTATGGAAAATAATTTGTGCCACGTGCTTGAAGTCAACTTACTGACTTTTTTAACGTCTTACTATATATATACACACATATATATATAGTCTTAAGCTAAAGCTACAAATGTGGAGCGTAGTAAGAGTATAGCAACCACGGAGGAGGCTACCTCGTGGACAGGGCACTCAGCCAGCCGGCAGGGAGCACCACACCATTCCCTCTGTCCACTGCCCCAACCTGGATGAAGGCACCTGGATACGCTGATGTCTAGTTTTGTCCCAGAGATGCCAGGCAGCGGCAACTGTAATATTCTGGAGAACTACTGCAACGGTTCGTTACTTCTTTATTTCAAGGAATAATTTCAATGGTGGTGTGCTACTGAGAGTTCACTCATTTGCAAGTACAATTCTGTAAGTTACACCCCTAGGTCAAGACACAGATTCATGCACGTTTAAACCCAGCTAGGACCACCAGTAACTTTAAACAGCACGGGACTATGAAAATAACTACACTGATGTTGTGTTTTAACCCAGCAAGTGGCTAAAACAATCACACAGCTGTTCGCTCACACCACCCGTGCTGCAGCGGGATGGGGGAGAGAATCAGAAAAAAGGTAGAACTCATGGGCTGAGATAAAGACAGCTCAATAGGGCAGAAAAAAAAGAGAATAATAACGATAATAATAATGATAAAATAACATGATAATGATGAAATAATTAGATAATAATGATAAGAGTAATAATGATAAAAATAATAATGATACAAAATAATGATAAAAGAACATCATAAAAGAAATGATGCACAGCACAACTGCTCACCACCCGCTGACCGATGCCCAGCCAGTTCCTGAGCTGTAGTGCCTCCTTGGCCAGCTCCCCCAGTTTATATACTGAACACGATGTCTTATAGTATGGAATACCCCTTTGGCCAGCCTGGGTCAGATGTCCTGGCTGTGCCCCCTCACAGCTCCCCACGCACCCCTCGCCTGCTTGCTGGCAGGCCAGCATGAGAAGCTGAACAGTCCTTGACTGCTTAGCAACAACTGAAAACATCAGTGTGTTACCAACATTATTTTCATCCCAAATCCAAAACACAGCACTATACCAGCCATCAGGAAGAAAATTAACTCTAGCCCAGCTGAAATGACGACAACTGAATTATTCTAGTCTGGATCTCATCATCTTTCTACGGTTTAAGGAGATTCAATGGACCAGATTTTCTCACTGGAGGAGGGGTGTGTTAGATAAAACTTGTGAAAGTGGCTATCGCTTAGTAACTGACAGAAAAGCATCAGAGAAAGATCTTCCAGAGATACTTATGTACAAAGCTGACAAGAGATGAAAACCTATTCTCTTTAACTCAGTGTTTTATGAGAGCACTAGCTTACAGGACAAAGAAAAAATCTGAACTCAAACTATATAGAGCTTGCTTACCATCTGAAGTCAAACTCAAACCACAGGCTAGTAACATAAAGGAAATCTGCTATGTAGGTGCCTTATTTATGTTGCCAGAACCTGCATAGCCTAACTGCAATCCTTACTTTATCAAAACAGAAACCACAGCTATAAATCCACAAAGGATTTTTCAGATGTCCATGCAAAGCCTACAAAATTCTAGCTTAGTTAAGATACTTCCAACCACAAATATCTTAAACTGATCGATTTAAAATATAAATTACATCTGTACAAGCTTTAGCTTAAACACTTTACCACTGAAAAATCCTGTAAATTGTAACAAACATAAAAACAACTGGCTACATGCAGAAGTGTTTCATTTGGTAAATTTCTAACCAGGCTACTTTAACTGTCTGTAACATCAATGCTTCTTTTTGGTTTTATCTAATTACTCTGCAGCCAGAAGATGAAAAGCCTCAGACAATCACAGAATCACAAAATAGTTTGGGTTGGAAAGGACCTTTAAAGGTCATCTAGTCCAACCCCCCCTGCAGTGAGCAGGGACATCTTCAACTAGAGCAGGTTGCTGAGAGCCTTGTCCAACCTGACCTTGAATGTTTCCAGGGATGGGACATCTAACACCTCTCTGAGCTACCCGTGCTACTGCTTCATCACCCTCATTGCAAAAAAATTCTTCCTTCTATCTAGTCTTAATCTGCCTTCTTTTAGTTTAAAACTGTTACCTCTTGTCCTATTGCAACAGGCCCTGCTAAAAAGTCTGTCCCCATCTTTCTTGTAAGCCCCCTTTAAGTACTGGAAGGCTGCAATAAGGTCTCCCCGGAGCCTTCTCTTCTCCAGGCTGCACAACCCCAACTCTCTCAGCCTGTCCTCACAGCAGAGGTGTTCCATCCCTCTGAGCATTTTTGCGGCTTCCTCTGGATCCACTCCAGCAGGTCCATGTCTTTCCTGTGCTGAGGGCTCCAGAGCTGGATGCAGACTGCAGGTAGGATCTCACCAGAATGGAGTAAAGGAGCAAAATCACCTCCCTCGACCATCCTGTTTTGGATGCTGCCCAGGATACAGTTGGCCTTCTGGGCTGTGAGTGCACATTGCCGGCTCACGTCTAGCTTTTCATCCACCAGTACCCGCAAGTCCTTCTTGGCAGTGCTGCTCTCGATCCCTTCATCCCCCAGCCTGTTGCCCTGACCCAGGTGCAGGACCCTGTACTCGGCCTTGTTGAACCTCATGAGGTTCACATGGGCCCATTCCTCAAGCTTGTCCAGGTCCCTCTGGGTGGCATCCTGTCCCTCAGGTGTGTCAACCGCACCACTCAGCTGGGTGTCGTCTGCAACTCTGCTGAGGGTGTATTCGATCCCGCTATGTTATTGATGAAGACATTAAAGAGTACTGGTCCCAATATGGACCCCTGAGGTACACCACTCATCACCAATCTCCATCTGGACATTCAGCCACTGACCACCTGAGCAGATCGTCCACGTGGTCACACTTCACAGCTGTTCTCACTACTGCCATCCGTTACCAGTGAGAGTCTCCGGCACTCCCTGCATCCTGAGACCCGGATGGCTGCACGTTTTGCATTCCATTCAGCAAGAGAAATCCATAAAAAGGCAACCAAAATGCATGAAATGTACATGTAAAAAAATCAGTGGTGCACTCTGAGAGTATACAAAAGTGTCAAAGGCATTAAAAAAACTGTCCAGACAGTGTCACTCTCGCACTGCAACAGATAAAATATAAATAAAAAAGGTCAAAAGGGCCAGTCAAAACTGCTCCTCCAATAACAACTCACGAAAACTTCTACTGCCCCTTCACCTGAGGTCTGTGCTGGGTAGACAGAGGGAAAAACTCTCCCTTAAACAAAGTTACCTGTCTTCCACCAGTGTTCGCACAAATCGGGAAGGCAGCAACTTATTTCAGGACCTGCTTTGCCCCAT